TTTTGATGAAACATTCCAGGATTTTTCTCCATATAATGGACTTCAATGGGAACCGGATGGTTCAGGTCCAAAAGACAGTTAATAACTGTTTCAGGTGCAGCTTCAAATGTCCTTAAACGACACCAGACCATGAATAAGGGTCTTATCATGCGAAACGATCGGTTATTTCAAAGCTTATTCCGAAAATGTAACTTTTCTAAGGACAAATGCTAGTCTTGCTCTATTCTGTGAGGCGCGTTTGCAACGTCACGTAAAACGTAATTACGTTCAAAAGGTCACGGGCGACGTAGCCGGAAGTACAGAATCAAAATCGTCCGACATCGTTGTTTTACCTTTTAATTCCTTTTTTGTAAACGGCGTTTGAGTTAGTTTTCACGTTCAACCTATGCGTTCAACTTGTAAACACTAACTCTGTACTTCCGGCTACGTCGCCCGTGACCTTTTGAACGTAATTACGTATTACGTGACGTTACAAACGCGCCTCACAGAATGGAGAAAGGCTAGCATTTGTCCTTAGAAAAGTTACATTTTTGGAATAAGCTTTGAAATAACCGATCGTTTCGCATGATAAGACCCTTATTCATCGTCTGGTGTCGTTTAAGGACATTTGAAGCTGCATCTGAAACTGTTATTAACTGTCTTTTGGACCTTGAACCATCCGGTTCCCATTGAAGTCCATTATATGGAGAAAAATCCTGGAATGTTTTCATCAAAAACCTAAATTTCTTTTCGACTGAGGAAAGAAAGACATGGACATCTTGGATGACATGGGGGTGAGTAAATTATCAGCAAAAGTTTTTTCAAAAGTGAACTAATCCTTTAAGTTCTAGAACTCGAATGGTACGCTCACACCGGACGCGAATATCGCGTCAGGCGTGAATGATTTCAATGTTAAGTCAATGCAAAGATGCGTTGCGCGCGTGAAAAATTCCTGTGGCGAGAATGAGGCGTGGAACGCGGCGCGGAAGACGCGAATACGCCTCATTCTCGCGTGAATTGAGCGTCTGCCGCGTTAAGCGCGAATGATTCAGTTAGTGCCATTTGTGCATTCACGCGATTGACACGAATTCGCGTCTGCCGCCCGAGTTGAAAAATCTGAACTTTGGCGTGAATTCGCGCCGCGTTAACCAATCAGGAGCCTAGCTGCTTGCTCACATGGTGAAGTGTCTGGATGCTTCAATAAATTATTTTGTATATGACTAAATGCATGGTGGGATTATGCACAACAAAGCAAATATTTTATCACTTAAAACTTTATTTCAATAGTTCATTTTGTATTTAATGTTATTCATTCCATATCTAGATTATATGAAATAGTATTATGATGTAAAGACAATCAACATACATGTGCATAAATTCGTGTCTGGACGTGAGAGAGAGAAAAAATCACAGGACAGGTTAATAACTTTTTGAAGCGGGCTCTCTTTATCATCAAAACAAAAATAAATGACAGCTAGATTAGGTGGAGGAGGGCGAAGGTGATCCTCGCTCCGATGCGGGACAACAGGTCATCAAACTGGGCGCGGGACAGACGGAAGTACCGCTGACAGCGGCCATCATCCAGGTTGCGAGCAAATGGTGAAACTAGCTAAACGGTTCGCCTCCGAAGGGTCCGGTGGACACAAATATGGCGACGATGATCCCCACGCCGCTGTTGTAGCTCTCCAGAGCAAATACAGTGCGGTGAATCTCTCGATGAATGCTCGATCAACATAAACAAAGATGGCCGTCAACGGGTTTCGGTTTTGACGCGCGTAAATTTCGCTTCAAACTTTTTATTTTACCCGCGTCAGTTTCGCGCTTGACGCGCTAATTAACACAAAGTGGTCAAGCGTCAAACTAGACACGGTAGACGCGAATTTACGCGTTATTCGCGTCCGGTGTGAACGTAGCATAATCCTAGTAATATGCACGCTAATAAGCAACTAGTTAATTGTGAGAATTGAACTCTAAAATAAAACCAAAAATACTGCTATCCATATCCAGTGTGCTATTTTACTAAATATCGAACAAAACTGCATGCATTTTGCGTAAGAACATGGTTTTGGCTACTGGCAACATGAGTCACGACTTGAATATGGTTATAATGTTGATCTAGCTTACTGCCAGTTTCGTATAGCAAACGAACGAACACGTAGTATAACTTTCAACACGCATTTAAATGCCGTTTAGTGTGATAGTGTAACGTTAGACCAAGTGAAGCAGCGCTGCGTTACCTCACAAGTTTAATTCGAACTGACCTGTGTGAGTAATCCAGCACTCGTGTGCAGTTTGGTCCTTTATATCCGCGGGACTCGCGTGTGATTTATCTCTCTTTAGCAATCGCGCTCTGCTTCATACAACTGTAATGTTAAAAAACAACTCATCCATAAACATTATTAGATCCATCAGCTTGACAGCAAGTCCCATCATTCAGCTCATCACTGCGTCATCAACCTACGCCTTTGTTATTGTTGGAAACTGCGCCCTCTTGTGGCGAAAAAATCGCACATATTTGCCAAAAAAAGGATGTATTTTCTCTGTATCGAGCAAAAGTTGTACATCGCTTCATTCCTTGTTCAGTTCCAAGCGCAGTGTCTGTCTGTGTGTTGATAGGTAAGGACGATATGGAGATGTGTGAGTTGAGTCTGGAGGAGACCGGTTTGACACGGAAGCGAGGCGCTGAGATTCTGCCCCGCCAGTTTGAGGAAATCTGGGAGCGCTGCGGAGGCGTCCAGTACCTCAGAAGCGCCATCGAGAGCAGGCAGGCCCGACCCACATACGCCACTGCCATGCTGCAGAGCATGCTCAAATAAACACACACACACACACACTTTAGTTTCATGAGGGAAGGCTGCCAGCTCTTACATAACCAGCACTGACTTTCACTTAATACTTTTTTTATTCTTATTCTGTTTTTTTTTTTTTTTGTTCTCTTTAAGAGCTTCTTTTTAGTTGCCGTTTCATTTTTTTTATTTGAGTTTCTGGTGCGTTGAATCATCTCATTGATCTTTAATTACTGTTCTTCACAGTGTAATTGCCTCTAATCTGCCTCTTATTATAATTTACTCAATGTAATATTTTGGTATGAGATGTGATCAGTAATCCATAAATACATCCTCCTGTAGAGAAGTTCAACAAGTGTGTCTTTTCCTAACGTTTAAATCAGTCTCGCATTGAAGGAAAGCTCCTCTCTGACTTGCAGATGTAAATACTGATATTGTTCAGCACTTTACTCTATTTTGAGTTTTGTTTTTCACTGTGAGTTTAACTGCTCGCGAAAAGTATTTACGAAAGCTACAGTAAATACAATAACTCTGGTAAGTAATGACGACTAAATTATGACTTTTGAATGGAAAATGTTTAATAAAAGAATAATGATTTTAATAATATTTAATTTAGTCATTCTTGTGATATTGTTATTTTCCCTTATTTTGTAACACTATAATTTAGCAAATGATGCAATAAGATAGACAAAGCACAGTCTGTAATTGTGATATCTGACCAAATATGTATCAATGAGCAATATGCAAATGAGATTTATTTCTATAAACACAGTGAAGATTTGTATCAAACTAAACAAGGTACTGGTGTAGGCATGATCTGTCCAGCTAAATAAAGGTGTCCGTTTTCTTCCAACAAATTTATACAGTGAGGTTTTATATAGATATAAACCAGCACAATTGTGTCATGTAGAAACAAAAACATTAAAAACACAATTGTACAATAGAGTTATGAGAACCGCATTTCAGGGATGCCCTCTTCTTTAATGTTTGACATTACAATTACAATGGATATATATATATATATATATATATGAAGAGTTCAGATGCAAAAGCCTCTAAATGCCATTTGAAATTTTCTTCTTTAATGATGATTTTTATCTTGCTTATATATTTAATTTCAGTGATTTCACTTAAATGGCAATGAAAATTACTTATTAATTGTTATTTAATTACTGAACTTAAATATACAAGTTTGATAATCATCATCATTAAAGAAGAAAATTTCAAATGGCTTTTGCATCTGAACTCTTCATATATATAGATAGATGGATGGAAGATGAAAAATGTGTAATTTTTTGCAGCACTCTTTATTTTATGTTTGGTGCTATTTAATATTCAATCAAAGAATGTTTGCAACAAAGTTCTCTTTTTCTCAAGACAACCATTCTAAAAGACAAAAAAGAAAATGTATTCACTATGCATGTAAGACCATTTATAGTTATTACACATCAAAACAATTATGTTCCAAACTATGAGAACATTTTAACCGTGTATTTTTCATGATCAGACAAAAACAATTTCCTCATTGTGAGGAAACTCTTAATCATTTCTGCCTTGTGAAAACACTCTACCTGAAATCCATTTGCGTTTCTTAACGTTCTCATGAGAACGACTTATAACATGTTAATAGCAACTCAACTTGGCTATCCATCTGTTCAGGATGTTTGGCCACTCATTCTACAATCTTCACGAGTTGTGGGATCATGGGATGTCTTTTTAAACGTCTTTTAATGGCTGGACAAGCACCATTGGAAGACAGCATGACACGTCCCACTTCTGTTAAAAGAGAAACAGGTCATTTTGCAATAGATAAAAAGATGTTTATCTACATAAATTAAGTAGGATGCACTTTCATCATTATATGCATTATGAAAGCCACACAATATATACAAAGCTTTGCTTATAAAAGTCAAGGAATCTAATATCCATTAAAAATGTTAAAATGACGTAGTTTTAGGCCCTGTTTACACCCGGTATTAAGATGCGTTATGCGTTAATCACAAGTGGGCATCGCTAATGTCAGTGGCCTGTTAACCAAAGCTAGTTGAGTTTGTCCAAGTGACTACAGGGGCTCAATCTTAAGTTTATCAAACGACGAGAACACTTTTGTGCGCAAAAAAACAACAAAAATAACGACTTTATTTCAACTATTCGTTTATTTCTCCCTCTGCGCGAGTCAAGTTACTAGTTTAAAAGCGTAAGCTTCTGTTATTGTACGTCACACGCATCACACACATGACCAGCGTCGGCCAATAGTGAGCCTACGTGTGACGTAGCTCTACGCAATCACACTACGTTAACTGACTTACAGGCTCAGTCGTTATTTTTGTTTGTTTTTGCGCACAAAAAGTGTTCTCGTCGTTTGATAAAGTTAAAATTGAGCCACTGTAGTCACTTGGACTATTTTAACCATGTCTTTAATGACTTTTAGATGCCAGCAAGAGTCATTCCCTCAAGAAGCCTATGGACTGTATGCAGGAGCGATCTTAAAGATATTATATATCTTATATGTCATATATCTTATAAATATCTTAATTTGTGTTCCGAAGATGAACGAAGGTCTTACGGGGTTGGAACAACATGAGGGTGAGTAAATACTGACAGAATTTTCATTTTTGGGTGAACTAACCCTTTAATATACAAGTTATATGAATGTATTATGCGAATTATGCATCATTATAATTATAATAATATTAAATCAATTGATTTATTGCATCTTAACTCACATCTTATTGGTCTAATCCAGAATAAATCCATGTAGCACAAATTTCCATAGCAATGAAACCCGCTAAAAACCAATCCACCTCCTTGAGCCCGAAAAACCAGAGTTTGCTCAAACTAACCTTGAACTTACATTGATATGAGATCTGATCTTACCTCAGTGACAGTATCATAATGTGGAGATCATCTGTGATTAACTCGTCAGGCCTGGAATGGTGGTCTGGTCTCGGCCTCTGTAGAACAGGACAACACGCGCAACAATATGAAGCTCAAGTTTCAATAGGCAAAGAAAGACATCAAGATCAGCTGAAGGGAAAAAGAAAATGCCACATCCCAAGGACAAATTCACAGGTGTAAGGCATCACAATTTCTGTAAAAAAGACACATTAGTAAAAGTTTCTTATGTACAACACCGGCTGTTGTTTTAGAACATTCTGGAAATCATTTCATTTGGATTCCTTGAGTAAAGTCCTGTTTTATAGAAAAAGTGTTCACAAATATGTGATCTTGTTCTGCGGTGATCTAGCAAACACCTGACAATTTTAAACATCTAACATTGTAAATGTAAGAGAGGTTTTCAAACTAAGGATGAAGTCATTTATCAGAGAGAAAAAAAGCTGTAAATGTGTGTAAAAGTTTAAACTGGAATTTTTAAACTGGAGAAGAAACCGTAATGGGAAATTTCAATATGGTTCTGCCTTGCGATCACTAATTCGATGTTCATACTCTTTAGTTTTGGTTAACATGAGGATGTGAAAACCACAAGTGTCCTAATCAGAAAAGATGCCTGCGGTTCAGCCCACTGTTGGAAGCATATACACTCACAGGCCACTTTATTAGGTGCATCTTTCTAGTACTAGGTTGGGACCCCCTTTTGTCTTCAGAATGCCTTAATTCTTCATGGCACAGATACAACAAGGTACTGAAAATAGTCCTCAGAGATCCTCTGTGACGATAGCATCACGCAGTCGCTGCACTTCTATGATGTGAATCTCCTGTTCCTCCACATCCCAAAGAATAGGGTTGGGTACCGAAACTCAGTGCCAATAGAGAGCCTAAGCCCCTCACCTTCCGGTCGACCACCATGGGACCTTATTTCGGAAAAATATTGAATGGTAGTCAATGTCGAGAGACAACAAATATTTTGATCTTGTTTGAATTATGCCCTGAATTACACGTATGATGTTTGTCAATTTAAAAGATACATTTTAAAGTAAAGAAAGTCGTAGTTTGATGTAAAACCGTGAAAATACGTAATTACAAAGACTACAAACCCCAAAAGGCGCACATTTTCTCTCAATGAATGAAGCTAACTTTACTGAGGCTAACGTCTGTCATTGTTTCTATAGTCTTACGTTATAATCGTAACGTTACGCCGTCATGCCTGAGTGTTTTGTACCAGACTTCACTGCACACACACGAACAGCGGATCTCACTCGTTGTTTCGCTTCCTGGGAGGTGTAGTTCACTGAGCGATTTTCACTTAAAACTAAAAGTTAATTATTATCTTTAGAATAGAATTATAGAATTATCTTTTAAATTGACAAACATCATATGTGTAATTGAGGTCACAGTTCAGACGGAATAAAAAGATAAGTTGTCTCTCGCCATTGACTACCATTCATATTTTTTCCGAAATAAGGTCCCATGAGCCGGAAGCGGAGGGGCGGGACTAATGGCTCTTTCAGACTGCACGATTTTCAAAGTAGTCAGGTCGCTGCTCTTTTCACACTGCATGACTATCTCGGCCAGCATTCAGTCGCTGCTGTGTTCACACTGGACGATGGATCGACGACAGAAGGTTTCACACTGCATGACTTTAGAAAAATCGCCGACAGACTCTGTCTAGCACGCTGCACGCAAACTACATTTCACAACAAACACGCGTGAGATATGAAAAGGAAACAACGCACGACACCACACGTGCAAGACCGGAGTTCTCACGTGAGACTTTTTTTTCCGACCCGGTTGTGGTACAGCTGGTGAAACAGACACGAGTGCTCCTGCCAAATTTCTACTAATTTTTCTTCCATTTATTGTGTCCAAATAGACCCAGAAGAAGCTTTTTTTGTTGAAACAATGCCATATCATGTTGATATGTGATCTATAACTCCTCCCCGAACTCCCTGCTGCTCTGTATCTTGCTCTCTCACTGGCTGCCGGTGATCGCCGATGTAGTTTTCAGTCAAAACACTTTTCACACAGCAGGATTTTGAATCGCCGACAGGTCCAGATATTTAGCATGCCAAATATCTCACGGGCGTCGGCGACTCGTCGGTGATTCTCTCAGTTCGCGTCTTTGTTCATTCACACTGCGTGATTGTCACTCGCGTGAACGAGCGCCGATTTGCCTGTGATTTCGGGCATTTGTCGGCGATTTCTCAAAACCTGTCGGCGAGCCAAAATCGTGGCTAAAATCATGCAGTCTGAACTCGGCATTAGGCTCTCTATAGGGAACCGGTTCTGACGTAAACGGTAGTAACCAGATTGAAAAAGAACGAAAATTTCAGTGCGTGATTTCGGTGCCTGAGTCTCAGTGTTATGAGGCGCACACGCGCAAAGTCTCTTGCTCTCTGATGTGCGCGCACTATACGGTTTGGAGCACAGTCTGCCTCACATGCGCGCTATTGCTCGCTCACTCCAGATTCTGGGAGATGTTCACTAATTTGCAGGCATCATCAGGGAGCCATTATCATATGTGGAAGACTCCCGGAACGTCTGATAGCGAGTGGATTAATGAAGATCCCGAAGATAAAACGCTCCAAGGTTAGGCTGCATTTCACGTGTAAAATTACGTGTCAGAACGATTGTCTGAAGCCCATATTAAGAATGACAATATGTGCCGCCTAGAAGCTCATGTCATCATATTATATTAGTGCGCGCATCATTTGCTCCTCAGATTTCTCTGCCCGAAAAGAGGAAGCTTGACGGCAGCGCGAGGAGTTTGGCATTAAAGATATAAGTTAATATTGTGTCCAGTTTGGCCCTGTAAATATAGGGGTATTATTTTTTGACAAAGTGAGTATTGTTTCAAGAACCGTTGAGGCACCGGTATCGGATAAAACCCAACCGATACCCAACCCTACCAAAGATGCTCTATTATTGGGTTAAGATCTGGTGACTGGAGGCCATTTGAGTTTATTGAACTTATTGTCATGATCAAGACACCGGTTTGAGATGATTTGCGCTTTGTGACATGGTGTGTTATCCTGCTGGAAGTAGCCATCAAAAGATGAACACTGGTCATTAAAGGGATTGGCATGATGAGCAACAATGCTGTGGAATTTAAATGATGCTTAGTTGGAAAAGTGTGCCAAGACAGACTGATCATGAAATGGCGTATGTATGACACGCCAATTTGTATTTCCATTTTTGGCGTGCTATCAACGCGCATAATCGCTTTTCAGCGCGTTTATGAACGCCGTTGACTTAACGTTACATTAGCTACTGTATAAATATGACCTACCCCAACCCCGTCACTGGGGTTAATACTATTTATGAGTCTTCCCCTACCATCCTAGGAAAAATATATCGAAAAACAACATGACATCATGACTTTTGCACAAACATATACGCCACTTTCGAGTCAAATCTCCAGTCATAAATGCCATTAACCCCAGTGACGGTTAAGTTTAGGGACGGGGTTGAGGTAAGTCATATCTTTTTTTTTTTTACCTAGGATGGTAAGGGAACAGTCATAAATGCCACTAACCCCAGTGACGGTTAGGTTTAGGGACGGGGTTGAGGTAAGTCATATATTTATATAACGTTAAGTCAATTGCATTCATAAACACGCTGAAAGGCGATTATGCGTCTTAATAGCACGCCAAAAATGGAAATACGAATTGGCGTGTCATACACACACTACTTCATGAGATCAGTCTGTCGAAAAATATAAAATATCGCTCCCCAGATAAAAAGATGTAGATCTACATTTTGCTTCGTTTCGTGCTAACATTTAACGGCGTGTACATACACGCGGAATCACTCGGACATTTAACGGCGTAGACATACACGCGGGTAGGTCAAAATGCGTATAGATAACACGCCACTTGACTTGAAAGTGGCATGTACAGGGGTTGGACAAAAAAACTGAAACACCTGGTTTTACTACACAATAATTTGTTAGAATGGTGAGGGCCTCATTTTGCATCCAAATACAGCACCAATTGACAGATAGAAGTCCTTCACAGTGACCAGAGGGATTATGAGCCGTTCCTCTTCCAGAACAGTGTCCAGGTCACTATATGATGCTGGTGGACTCGCTCCTCCAAAACACCTCAATAATATTCAGATCTGGTGACTGTCAGACCATGGGAGATGTTCAACGTCACTTTCATCTTCATCAAACCCTTCTGTCACAAGTCTTGCTGTGTGTGTTGGTGCATGATCATGCTGATACACGGTTTGAGCATCAGGTGCTCATGATCCTCCAGAAGGGTTTGGTAGTCCTCGGCAGTGTTGTGTCCATCAAATACAATCAGGATTGTCATGATATTGGAGCTCAAACCATCACTGATCCACCCGTGCTTCACTCTGAAGATTGGCCGCCAGGCATATAGATGTGAAACCTCCAACATTGGCCAGTGTTTCAGTTTCATTGTCCAACCCCTGTATGTTTATGCAAAAGTCATGATGTCTATGTCGAAAATAATCTTGGCACACACCGTTACACCACCATCAGCCTGAACCATTGATACAAGGCACCAAATTCTGACCGAACATCTTGATGTTGCCGCAGAAATCCAGACTCTTGGAAAGTTTTTTCCAATCTTTTGTCCAATTTTGGTGATCCCGTGTGAATTGTAGCTCCAGTTTCCTGTTCTCTGCTGACAGGAGTGTCTTCTGCTGCTGCAGCTCATCTGCTAGAAAAGGTTTGAGGTTTTTTGAGATGCTCTTCTGCACCTCGGTTGTAACGAGGGCTTATTTGAGTTACTGTTGCCTTCATATCAGCTGGAACCAGTCTGGCCATTCTCCTCTAGCTTCAAGGCATCTTTGCCCACAGGATTGCCGCTCACTGGATATTTTCTTTTTCCAGGACCATTCTCTGGAAACCCTAGAAATGGTTGTGTGAGAAAATCCCAGTGGATCAGCAGTTCCTGAAATACTCCTACCAGGCAGTCTGGCACCAACAACCATGCCACATGCACATGCTTGGTCACTTTTGTCACCCTGTAGCCCAAGACTGGTTGAGCAATGAAACTAGCAGGGTTTAGACTGGTCAGTACCTGGATTGGAGACCTCCTGAGAAAACCCAGTTCCTGCTGGAAGAGGTGTTAGTGGGGCCAGTAGGTGGTGCTACTCATCCATGTGTGGGTCCGAATGCCCCAGTATAGTGACGGGGACACTATACTGTAACAAACACCGTCCTTCGGATGAGATGTTAAACCGAGGTCCTGACTCCATGTGGTCATTAAAAATCCCATGGCACTTCTCGTGAAGAGTATGGGTGTAACCTCGGCCTAATTCCCTCCATTGGCCTTTATCAATCATGACCTCCTAATAATATCCATCCTTTGAATAGACTCCACCTATTGCTGGTGTGTGGTGAACGCATTGTATCGCATCGCATCTTCCATGTGGATGGAGAAACCCTTGAGGAGAGAATTTCCAATAATGGTTGTAAAGCGCTTTGGGTGTACAGTAGTTGACATTAAAACACTATATAAACGCCTTATTCATACATTGATTCATTCATTCATCCTAATGCTCAGTTTGAACTTGAGCAGATCCCCTTGACCATGTCTGCATGCCTAAATGCATTGAGTTATTGCCATGTGATTGGCTGATTAGACATTTGCCTTAACAAGAAGTTGAAGAAGTGCATCTAATAAAGTGGCTGTTAGTGTATATTGACTTTCAGTAAATGGGATACTGCAATCAATGCATACTAGACTTTAGATTTTTATTTAATTTTTCTTGAATAATTTGTACTCGTGGAGGCTCCAGTTGTTAATCCAGTTGGTCTGGAACAGAGACATCTGATTGTTCAGTCAATGAAAAGATATTATCCCAAAGATAAAAGGCACAGAATGAAACTAAGGAATGACATGTATATCTAATGAGAGTTTAAAAGTGTGTTCATAAATGTATTTAGAACAGAATCACATGAAGAATAGACTGGCAAGCAAGTAATGATTTCATTCATTTTATGCAAACCAATTTTCTAAATATCTCGTATTTCAAATTAACTGTGAATAGTTCGCTTAGGTAAGATATTGTTTAAGACATGTCAAATGAATTCATTAAGTTCTTCTCTAAAGTGCGTTAGCATTGAACTGAACACATAAACTAATTTTTTGTTTGTTCTTACAAACTGAATAATTTGGTACTGGACGTCGGAACATTCCTAACATATAAAATAAAGAATTTGCATTTGGTATGTTGCTTACATTTTGTATATCTATTTGTCTAGTCAAAATTTCAAAGAGAAATAAAATTGTATATCTTGTCTTTTGGTAACTTTGTTAACACAACAAATGTTTTATAACCGCAAAAAAAAAATCTGAAAATCTGACAAAAAAAGACCTGCTTACACTAGAGTTAGTGTCTTTCTGGTCCGTACACATATCCTGCACATAGATAACAAGAGAGAAATGATGGCATAAAGAAAGGCGAGCACCCCCGCGAGGCACACTAGGGAAAGAAAGGGGTCTACTGACACGGAGACCAGCTCTCCACATCTCTCCCCGATAAATTGCCAGAATTTACCTACAGGACATCTAAAAGGGTCAAGAGAGACAGTTAGAACATGTACAATGGAGGTTTTATTATTAAAGGGTTAGTTCACCCCAAAAAAAATTCCCGCAATTAATTACTCACCTTCGTGTCGTTCCAAACCCGAAAGACCTTCGTTCGTCTTCGGAACACAAATTTAGATATTTTTAATGAAATCCGAGAGGTTTCTGAATCAGCCATAGGCAGCATTTGCAACTTTCAAGGCCCAGAAATACATAAAGTCGGCATTCTGGCGTAAAAGTAATTCACGGCAGAAATTTCATTTTTGGGTGAACTAACCCTTTAAAGAGATCCTACAGCAGCATCTATCTGCTTACATATTTAAAACTTTTAAAGAAATTACCACAAAGCATAAGCAAAACTACTGGAGTGTAAATGTACTATAAATGTAATGAACAAGTTAGCATAGAGTCAGAAACTTGATTGGGGGTCAAAACTAGCATTTTATTAAATTCCGAAGCAGAATTGAGTTGAATTTAGATAGTCGAATTTAACTGTTTATAGCTATATATGATTGTTCGCTGAGGTACCTGCAAGCGGCACCATGCCCTGGTACAATCTCACACTCTCCTCCATTGAGACAGAAATCAGGCTGAACCACACAGAGGCTCTGACATGGCAGTCCTTCCACCGTTACGTAGCCTGGGTCACATAAACATTGTGCTTCCTTTGTCCAGAGGTTCACCACGCACTTCGAAAACTCGTTGCAGGCAAGAAATTTGCAAGGGTCTCCTTGATCAGCTAAAATGAAAGAACAAATGAGACTCGTCTCAGTTGTATCTATTCTTTACCGTCTTAAACTTTCCAGAGTGGCTGATCCAGTTTGAAATCAATAGTAATGGATTCTTACAAAGGTAAGACTCTTACCTGGTTCTATGTCTAGGGAATGGCTGTCAATCTCTATGTCCAAACGCTGGGCTGCAGCATCACAAAAATCCTCCAAGACATGCTGGACAGCCTGAGTAATGTTGTACGGCACAGACTTGGCAAATTTCACCTTGCTGTTGACCACCACACTTCCATTTCTGAAGTTAAGGATCTCTAACTGCTTAAAGCCTGTTAGGTTAGACTGTAGATATGGAAGTAGCTGTGCAACAGAGGAGACAATAGCATAATTTATGTATGTTCACCATAAGTCACTGGACAATTATAGTTAGGAGATGGACCTTCTATTAACCTAAGTGATATAATACCATACTGCATAGTATAAACTTTATACCGCCTCATGTTCTTAAAATAATTTGTATAGAGAGTATGCTACGATAAACATTACAATAAAGCTGCAATGTGCTACATTATTGTGACAAGATCCATTAATGATGCATGTTAGTTCAGCAAGTGGTGTCCTGTGTTCATCATGAACAGATGAAAAAAAAAATGTCATAGTGATTTTGCTTAAATGAATCAAGAAGATAAAGAGTTGTATGTTGTCTCACTGTAAAATCTCACTGCTCACGACAATCAACAGATATCAACATCTGAAATAGCTGCACTTACCAGTTCAACAAATCTGTTTTCCAATGATCGGTATTCTGTAGAGCTCTTATTGAAAAGATCTTCAGAGAACATCATGTTTGTGACACGCAAACTGAAAAACACAATCAGTTCTTTGCCTTTGCTCGCTGTGGTCACTGAGGGGGTTGTGAAGTACGTTAGTGATGGCACTTTTGTTGTCTCCAAGGGATATCCTTCATTTGGAAAAGAATATCCATTGTCATAACTCAAGAGGTCAATGGTCTCAGTACTTACTACATCTATTTGGTCTAACTCTGTGGCTAGGTCTTTTAAATTACTAAATGGGTCCTCAGTTTCGTCATTTTTGGATATAACGTCAACGTCCTGGACAACAGTTGATTGTCCATTTTCAGTTGGCGAATCATAATCCTGTTCCAAAGATGTCGGAGTAACGATCGATACATCCGTTAGGACTACTTCAAAAAGATCATGGCCTGCAGGTGCAGTTGTCCAAGGTGTATCAGTTGCAAGTATATCAATGGGCAGTGATGCATTTTCTTCCTCTTGTTCTATAAGGACAACCTCTGTCTTAGTGTCTTCCTCTAGGAAATCAAAAATGGCAGGTTAGAAATTACCTGCAAAATGTAAAATAGTTATTAACGAGGATCATTATCACTGTTCAGCAATGTTAAAGGAGAACTCCGGCGCAAAATGAACCTTTGGTCTAATTACACATTGTTACCTAGTCAACTGTTATCTGAGAATTGTTTTCATGATTGCCGAATGTAAATAGTTTTATCTCTAAAAACAGTTTAGCCTATAACGCTAGTATAACGCTAGTATATAGGGCATAGAGTAATGACAAATAAAAATTGCTTGTTATTACCATTAAAAAGGCTCAAAATAGCCCCACACCAACACGACAGCATAATAAGGGTCCCTACATTCAAACCGAAGCATTGAGAACTTTGTCAGTGTCCATACAGTTTAATAAGAAGATATTTTATACACACAATCAACTTCGCGAATACAGGAAGAAGCCATCTTTGAAAAATAGTCTCTACCTGTCGATCTACGAACGCCGATCCAAGTGCGCTGAACTGTGCAGAATCTCATATGGTCCGTTGTTTCCGGAAGAAACACAAACATGAACCATTTTCTTCTCTTCAATATGTACAAGTAGCCTACTGTTCGCGCTCACCTTATCACCTTATTCACATCTCACCAGCGCACTTGGATCGGCGTTCGTAGATCGACTGGTAGAGACTAATTTTCAAACATGGCTTCTTCCTGTATTCGCGAAGTTGACTGTGTGTATAAAATATCTTCTTTTTAAACTGTATGGACACTGACAAAGTTCTCAATGCTTCGGTTTGAATGTAGGGACCCTTATTATGCTACCGTGTTAGTGTGGGGCTATTTTGAGCCTTGTTAGTGGTAATAACAAGCGATTTTTATTTGTCATTACTCTATGCCCTATATACTAGCGTTATACTAGCATTATAGGCTAAACTGTTTTTAGAGATAAAACCATTTACATTTGGCAATCATGAAAACAAATCTCAGATAACGGTTGACTAGGTAACAATGTGTAATTAGACCAAAGGTTAATTTTGCGCCGGAATTCTCCTTTAATTCTCCTATCCTCGATAGATGTTGCAAAAGACTTTCACCTAAAACCGTTCCTGTCACTTCTACACTCAGGTATTTTTTCCTTCTTTAGTCTTTTATACTGTCTTGACTTATATGTAAATTAAAGACCCTGTAAAGTTCTGTAATCAGATCTGCTATTGGAAACTTGTATGGATGTCTCCAGTGTGTCAGATGTTACCCAAAACTTTGGCTCTTTGCCATAATCTATTCCCATGTGAACCTTTTTTAAATGTAATTGAGTAACACACAGTATATCTCTCTCACCTATATCCGTGAGCTGTGGCTCCTCAGTATCGCCAACAACAGATGGTAGATGGTCCTCATCTTTCTTCGAAGCTGATTCTGTGACCATTTCAGATAGAGATTCTGAGGCAGTTGATACAGTAGGGTGAACATCAGCCACTTCTGGTTGTGTGGTGGTGTCCTCTATAACCATATCTGGTATCTCAAGAACTCCCTCAATAACCTCAGTTTTGGAGTTTGGATCCTCAAGCCCAAAGTCTTCCACATATTCAGGCTTACCAATGTCCATTTCTGGTTGAACACTGTCAACTGGCACAAAGGGCAAATTATCACTTACAGGTTGGTAATAGTCAGTGTTCTTAAAGTAAATTTCCGTCACAGAAATCTCTTTGGGTATAATCTTAATCATCTGTGCAGGAGGTTCTGTTGAACCTTCAGTGGGTTTGGGGACTTCACTTGCCACATCCACATCAGGCTCTTCGGTTTTGATGCCTTCCTCATATTCCACCACATCAGAAGCCTTTGATTCATCAGCTTCTCTCTCGGGTTCCACCACCTCACCCTCTTCTTCCACCACCTCACCTGCTTCTTCCACCACCTCACCCGCTTCTTCCACCACCTCACCCTCTTCTTCCACCACCTCACCCTCTTCTTCCACCACCTCGCCCGCTTCTTCCACCACCTCGCCCGCTTCTTCCACCACCTCGCCCGCTTCTTTCACCACCTCACCCGCTTCTTCCACCACCTCGCCCGCTTCTTCCACCACCTCGCCCGCTTCTTTCACCACCTCACCCTTGTCTTCCACCACCTCGCCCGCTTCTTCCACCACCTCGCCCACTTCTTTCACCACCTCACCCTTGTCTTCCACCACCTCGCCCGCTTCTTCCACCACCTCGCCCGCTTCTTTCACCACCTCGCCCGCTTCTTCCACCACCTCGCCCGCTTCTTTCACCACCTCACCCTTGTCTTCCACCACCTCACCCTTGTCTTCCACCACCTCGCCCGCTTCTTCCACCACTCGCCCGCTTCTTTCACCACCTCACCCTTGTCTTCCACCACCTCGCCCGCTTCTTTCACCACCTCACCCGCTTCTTCCACCACCTCGCCCGCTTCTTTCACCACCTCACCCTTGTCTTCCACCACCTCACCTGCTTCTTCCACCACCTCACCCTCTTCTTCCACCACCTCACCCTCTTCTTCAAGTTCTGTTAAACGAGGTTCCTCTTTGGGTTGTACTGCCTCAGTTCCTGGGTTCCTAGTTACCTGAACATCCTCCTCTTCTCTCACATTAATCTCCTCATCAGTTTTATGTTCTTCAACATCTTTTGATTTTATAAGGACCTCTGTTTCTTCCTCTAAAACGTTTCCCTCTCGTTCTGCTACTTCATCCTGTTTAGTTGTTTTTCCAATCCAATCTTCTTCTGGTTCTGGTGCCACAGTCGTTATCACAGGTACTAATGTGCTATACTCTGTGTGAGATTCTGTTATCATAGTCACTTCAGGTCGGAATACCTGATCTTCTAAAACAACAGTATCTTCAATTACTTTCACAGTTTCTGTTGTCACAACCTTTACCTCGGGTAAATCAACTTCAGACTTAGATTCTTCCACTGGTTCAGCCATCACCATTTTGGTATCTTCCTCCTTTAGTACAATTACTGTGTGAGGCACCTCTGGAATTTCATTAGAATCTGTAACTTCAGTTATTGGATCAATTGGTTCAGTTGAAGGTTGTAGGGTGATGGTGAAGTCGGTCGTGACAGCCAACTTTGGTTGTTCAGACCTAAGACTTACAGTTGTAGCGGTTGTGAACAAATTGGGTGTGGTGGTTACTGGGTTAAACATGATGTCATCTTCTGGTATTGTGTTTAGACTAAAGTCACTCTCAGGTGTAGGTTTCTCTGTAGTTCTAGACTGTTGTCCACTCGAGGGTAATGCTGAGATAGCAGCTGAAGATGTTGGAGCTAGATTGTTGTCTTCATCAACAATAACAACTGGTTTGGTGTCATCATCAGCAGGAGCTTCCTCTACTGGTGGAACTTGAAAAGTTTCCTTTATGAGCTCACCAGTTTCCCCTTTAATAGTTTCAAGCTGGTGAATAATGACTGCCTCATGCTCAGGTTCAACTGTTGATTTTGTTGTTGTGGTGCTGTCTGTGTCTACAGTTGTGTGTAAAATGGTCTCCAAAACATTCTCATCGCCATCTGAGGAAAGAGGAACTTCAACCAAGGTTTCTTTTGTTGGAAAACTGAGGTCACCATATGAATCTCGATCAGAGGACTGCAAATTAACAGATGAAGTTGCAATTAAGTTGTTGCATTTAAAGATGTTAGCATATATACGCTAATGCCTTCACATACTGCTCTTTATATTACTATGATTATTAGTTTACATGTGAAGAATTAGTTTACATGTCACGCATTTTTTTTGTAAGTTGGGCCCCTTTATCCATGTCGACGATATAAAATGGTCTCTTGTACTTCATTGTTTAAATATATGACTTTAGTCACCTCAGTTATTATGTCTTCAGAAACCTCAGTGACAGGCGTTCTGGTTGAGGGTTGGTCTTTGCCTGATGAGAGAAAATTTGCACAAAAACGGTAATGAACTTGTAAATATAATTAAACAAAAAATAATAATACATTGTACATGGAAATGCATTTTTGTTGGTGCTTATACCTGTCTCAAATGTCAGTGAATTAAGATCAAGAAGAGAGGTCTTTTTGCTCAGTGCTTTAACTATCATGTCCTTCAAACTTGGTCCTGTAGATGAAACAACCGTGCCAAGACTTTCATGAGCAACGGTTGGTACAATAGTCTCAAAAACTGCCGAGTAGACTGCTGATATTCCTCCAGCCCTGGAGAAATGGAGGCAATATGCATTTACGTTTATTTATGTAGCAGATTCTTTTATCCAAGCAATAAATGGATAATACTGAAGGTGATTCTACACAGCACATTATATACATATGTAACTTTTACCCTTCAGGCTTTTCCGCCTCGCTTGCATGTAGGAAAGGATACAAAGATGTAAAGTAAAATGCAACAGAGAAATCAGATATACACAAACACTTCTCTGGTGAAATATGAATAGCTAATGATGAAGATTCAAACGCAAATGGCATTGTGAATGTTATCATTATTTTCACATAGCAACAGATCTCAGGCAATCAGTTGGTCACTGCTGTTGTAATACGGAAAGTGACTATGACTATGATTTTTTTAGTACACCTACCTAATTCTTAACAAGTGGACATCCATAAATCCAGGAAGGTCTTTGAAAACATGTTGCATCTGCAACAAACAGACAAGTGTGCAGTTTAAAATGTTGCTATGGAAGCTTGTTTACACAACTGAATAAAACGTTAAAAAAAGGTAGTAGCGACTTCTCGCAGTTCTGACTTTATAACTCGCAATTGTGAGTTACATCTCACAATTCAGCCTTTTTTTCCCTCAAAATTGCAAGATATAAACTTGCATTTGCAAGAAAATGTCAGAATTGTGAGCTGACTTATTTTCTCAGAATTGGACTTTATAATAGTATCCAATTGCGAGTTTGTATCTCACAATGAAAAAAGTCACAATTATCTTTTGTTTATTTTTATTTTATTCCATGCTGGAATCAAGACTTCATAGGTTGCCCATTATATACATTTAGACAAATGTAATACCACCAGTTAGAACAATCCATCATTTTAAAGACAGAATACAAGGTCCTCCAACAGATTCTCGAAACGTTACATTTACTACAGCCCTGGTGAAGCCAGTGAAGCTTTGATTCCTCAAAACACTGAATGGTAGATTGTTTGGTCATTTTCACAAACCTGATCTTGAAGATGCTGTGACAGGTCATGGTACTGAGGTGAATCGCCAACTCTCACTATCTCTTGATACCCGTGATCCAACAGTGTAACGCTGAACTCTATGACATGATGTACTAGCTGCTCTGGAACCACATTGTGAAGATCCAACTCCTGAAAATATAGCACAAGAACTATTAAATAAGTACCGCATCAATGTATAAGCATAATTCCCCAAAAGGTTTAGGAAACTTTACAGGTTAAATAACAAATATTTTAATTGAAGTATTAATGCAAGTGCTGAAATAAGACACTTTGTCATACAGGAAATTAAACGAACTGAATTGTAGACCCGTCATTTCTTAGTAAAGCAGTCAAATGTCAAAGATTCATGATCCTCACACTCAAAAAAAAATTGCTCCAAAGTAATCAAAGGCAATCTTGTTCTCTACTCTAGATTCATATTTTGGTGGAGTGAGGCACAATCGTCTGTGACGTCAGTTATGTTGCATTGTGTATATGGATCTGCCTGGATCAGTCCATGTACATGACTCAAAATCGAGGGATTGAGGGTCTGTCCATATAAACTTTTATTATCCACTTGAAGTGGAACACACTTCAAAATGGAGGGTTGGTTTTCCCAAGGGAAAGTACTTAGGGAAGATTGTGAGTGTATGGCTGCGTTTAATTCCAATTTTAGACATTTACTCACCGCCATTTTTACGTTTTGGACCAACGCTTAACCCCTTGATTTTGATCTGAGGGAATGAGTCCACTCTATATGTACTCAGAACCATAGACCGCAATGCAACAGCATTGTGACTTCACAACAGCAACTCGCAGTGCTCACACTTAATTTACCCAAGGGCACAGGGCTCTGCTAGTAGTGGGCACTCGTGCAACATAAGCAATGATGTACATCCGAGTAAACATCAAGTCGGAGGGAAGTTAGCGAGGGTACGGCATAAAAAATGTACTTAAATGCAGCCGAGGTCTGAAAGCGAAGCAGAACACAACTCGGCAATCCTGAAGACCCTAGGTGTGTTTAATTGGTGTTGAAAGCTCTGTAAATTGAACCATCCTCCACCACCAGCACCCCTCATTTCCCACAGACATTTGAGAAAGCAGTGTATACCTAATATAGCTACAGGGCGAATCCTGCACAATTTATGTTGCAAATCCGTACTACCTTATCTGTCTTAGAAGTTAAGCTTAAGCTAAGGCTTATCGGCCTGGTGGTCATGGCCCACGGTCACGGACAGCAGAGAAAAGGCTGCTTATAAATAGCATTTTGTATTGATTAAAATACTGTCACTATATACTGTAAGGGAATTTCTAGCAACCACTGCTTCTAGTTGATTACTATGAAAATTAAGTATATGAAGTATGTTTTAAGACAAATGGGCTTCAGACCTGTGAGGCAGTAGAGGTGTCTCTTGTAGTGTGGATAGTTGTAGATTCAGCTGTGGGAACAAATTCATGTACTGCTGCTTCAGTCAGGACTTCCTCTGAACCTGAACAACAGAAATTGAGCTTGGTTCAATTGACCAAAATTCTGAAAACTTCTCACTGAAGAGAGAGCAAAAACAGTTCAACTATACCTTCCGTTTCTTGTGTTTCAATGGTTGCTGGCTCTTCACTTGCATTTCTATAAAATTAAATTGAATACGTACAGTATCATGATAATAAAATAATCACAGTCCATCATTTTTGTTACAGATGATTTGCAGCTGTTTTCAGGATATGGAATTATATGCTGTCTCACCGTTCTAATGTCTCGCTATTCTTATTCAACCTCTGTAAAAAAAAAAAATCATTATAAGAGAATTTTGATTAAACATTACATTTGTGTCCATTGACTAAAACAATTGGAAAATGGTAACCAAAAAAAATTAACTTTTAAATTTACCGGATTCAAGTAAACATAATAAAATTTAATATAGATTAATCGACCTACCTAACTTTTATGGATAGAAAAATCTCTTTAAGGTAATAATTTCAGGTTACCACTTTTAAAAGTGTACACAGCTAAAACTCTCCAGGGAGTTTATTTGGCTTCACAATCAAGAGTGCTAAAGTGTTAAAATATGAGTGTATTTTATATTTTAAATAATTGAGTGATGATTGACCATTTTAAAGACACGTGATGTTAACAAGCAGAATCAACAAAGGAGAAAATCACAATTTGTAAGTCACCATTGTTGTGATCTGTGTTTGCTTTAGTTGAGCCAAGACCCTTAAATTATTAACATTAGATTTAGTTTGGCTCTAGTAACTGAGTTATAACAGTTTGATAATCAAAGAGAAAAAGTGATCTGGTGGTGTTGGTTGTGTTTTTACATAATTATCATTTGACCTGAATGACTGAACTCACAGAGTTAGAATTATATTGTTGATTACAGCATCATTGTGATTCTACAGCATAAGATAGGCTAAAGAATTTCTTAGAAGTGTATCTGAAAAAAAAAGAGTCCATAAAATCTTTCATGTAGGCACACACAGGCATCAAGAATCAGCGTGTGAGTCTCAACAATGGTGACAAACAGCATATTCAGATAAACCGATATTTGAAAACAAGCGACTAAAAAGTCACACAAAACAGCAGAAATAAAAGAAAATATTAAGAATAAACTAAATTACTAAGACAATTCAGGTCCTAATTTAATCATACCGTAATGCATGATGGGAGCCATGAATGAGTTTTGATTAGTGGCACCCAGAATGTACTACAACATGCTTTATTATTGTCACCATTGTTGAGATTCACAGGGTGATTCTTGATGTCAGTGTGTCTAAATAGATCAATAAAAATCAAAGTTTTTGTCTTACAACAACTTTTAAGCTTTTTTAACAACTTTTTTAATGCTGTACAAAGACAGTACTGCTATAATCAATAAAGAAAACCTAGATCAGATATTAGGCTCCAAATGAGGTTTCAGATCAAATAATGGTTATGTCAAAACAGGACCAACACCATCAGATCACCATTTCTATTTGTTCATCTGGCTGTTATAAGTCACATAAAGCAGCCAAACAAAATGTAAAATTTTAAATTTAAGGGACAAAAGCCCAACTAAAACAAACACTGATCACAATAACGTGGTAAAATTTAGATTTTCTCCTTTGGTAATTCTGCTTGTTAACATCAAGTGTCTTCAATAATGGTCAATCATCACTCAAATATCTCTTAATTATCTCTTTACTTTAAATGTTATAACTTTTTTTTATAACTCTTCAGAGTTCATTTAACACTTATATTTTAACTCTTTAACACTCTTGAGTGTGGAGCCAAATAAACTGCCAGGAGAGTTTATTTAACACTGGAGTTTTTGCTGTTTTATGATATATTTTGACTATATAGTATTGTGTGCATTTTTGATTAGTTTACCATGTAGACCATGTCTACGTGTTCCTGCGAATGGCTGAAATTCATGGCGAGATCTGAGATGCACAGGGAGTTGTGCTGGCATGTGTGGACCCATGTCTGGTACTCCAAGTTGCTGGGAATTCTGTCCAAAAAGATCCGAAAAGCCTCCCATACAGCCTCCTGGCAAACTGAAAATGTCAATCAATAAACAAGTGTTCAAATGATACATTTTACTCTAATCTATACTTTACTTTAATCTTTCTGGATCTGTTTTGTATATTAAAATATATTCTTCAGTATTGCTGAATTGCAGTCAAATATAAATCAAGACAACAGATCAGGTCAACAGATGTGTTACATTAATTACTTCATATTAGACAATTTATTATCTAATTTTGACTAATTATACCTAATTATTTACTGATATTGTGAATATACATTTTCTCTCAACTTGCACGTATTCATCTAAATTTGAATGTATATAGACCTTCTGTAGCCCCGCCCCTTTTCAGCGCTACGCTCCTTGTCTTTTGACTTCCGGTCTGTATTTCCACAGCGATCTTGCATAGGTATGAATGAACTGATCGTAAAAAAAAAATTCCTGGTCGACATTTGTTAAGACATCTGCTTTACAATTCTTATGATAAACATTACAATGCTCATGATAACTTTTGTTAAATCTACAATAAGTGAATCCACTTCACCAGCTAATTACTCCTCGACAGCGATGCCATAGAAATATACAGAGCGAACGCAAAAACGGAAGTTCAAAGACAATATTCTAAAGATGACGGCGCCCACGTTTCTCTGGTGCATAAGGTCTATACAGGCATTATTTAAATTTGTGTAAAAATGTCCTTATTTGGCAGTCCGCTGCAAATACTGTGACGTAATTGTTCAAAAAACGTAATAGAAAACAGAAAAATCTGAACAGGTTGAAAAATATGACCAAAACAGAATATAAAGATATAAACGAAGCACATGAAGAGAATAATTTCATCTTTTCTGTACTTATAAACACTCCAAATATACAACAAAATGCATTTAAGGGCTAAAAAATTGATTTTGCATGATTTGTCCCTTTTAAATCGATTCAAATGTTGACACATCTTTCTAAGATGTGATTATATATAGTAAATGGACCATGGTGAACACATTTACACAGTTTACTGCAGTTTACAAACAAACATTACTGCTCCTCATCAATGTCAGCTGCTTAGACCATCCCATTTAACAAACTTCACAGCCTTCGAAGGATGCTGCCTCTGAATTAGCACTCTTAGAAGAAAAGGTTCTATATAGAACCTTAAAAGGTTCTAAAGCGCTACGTATTTGGAACCCCTAAAATACAATGCATGTGAATGATCACAAAATTCAAGATATGGGGGTTAAGAAATGTAATTAATCAATATCACACGAAGAGTGACATTTCAGTTTTTATCCTCCAAAAATCAGCATGATTAAAATGTGACATTAAGTTACTACAACAGTTTAATAAACAATAGCTTAATTACAACTACAAAATGGTGCAGAATAATGTAATATATGAATGAATGATAGCCTATAAAGAACCTTTGTGCCAAAAGGGTTCTTTCTTGTCATTATAGAAACTTTTTTAGCATAAAGGTTCCTTTGAAGTTGAGTAAAGAACCCTATGCTACATATATGGAACCCCAAACCCCTTTTTTTTAAGAGTGATGTGCAGTGTTGGGAAGGAGGGGCTTCCAGGAATATAGGGTTGACTAAACAAAACCATTGATGCATTTGAAAGGGTTAAAGGAATAGTTCTCTTAAAAATGAAAATTCTTCATGGAAAATTTCAAACCTGTATGAATTTCCTTTTTTCGCTGAACACAAAGGAAAGTGCTTTTAAGAATGTCTGTAACTAGACAGTTGATGTACCGTTGACTTCCACTGTAGGAAAAAAACTATAGAAGTCAGTGGGGTCCATCAACTGTTTGGTTTCCGACATTCTTCAAAATATCTTTCTTTGTGTTTAAATTCATACAGGTTTATATGGAAGCTTGTTTCCGCCACTGAATGAAAAATATAAAAGGTAATTGCGACTTTTTATCTCACAATTCTGACTTTTTATCTCACAATTGTGAGTTTACTTCTCGCAATTTCTCAGAATTGCGAGATGGAAAGTCAGAATTGTAAGAGATATAAAGTCAGAATTGCGTGATATAAAGTCGCAATTGCGAGATATAAAGTCAGAATTGCGTGATATAAAGTCGCAAGTGCGAGATATAAAGTCAGAATTGCGAGATATAAAGTCAGAATTGCGTGATATAAAGTCGCAAGTGCGAGATATAAAGTCAGAATTGCAAAATAAAGTCAGAATTGCAAGATATAAAGTCAGAATTGCGAGATATAAAGTCAGAATTGCGAGTTATAAAGTCAGAATTGCAAGATATAAAGTCAGAATTGCGAGTTATAAAGTCAGAATTGCAAGATATAAAGTCAGAATTGCGAGATATGAAGTCGCAATTGCGTGTTATAAAGTCAAAAATGCGAGATTTAAACTATTCTGTGGGGGGAAAAAGTTATTCTTTTTTTCCCCTTAGAATTGGCCTAATAAGTCGCAATTGCGAGTTTATATCTCACAATTTTGAGAAAAGATGTCAGAATTTCGACATATAAACTCGCAATTATGTGTTATAAAGTCAGAATTGCGAGATGTAAACTCGCAATTGTGAGAAAAAGTCACACTTCTGTCTTTTTTTCTCAGAATTGCGACTTTATATCACACAATTCTGACTTTATATCTCGCAATTCTGACTTTATATCTCGCAATTCTGACTTTATATCTCGCAATTCTGACTTTATATCACACAATTCTGACTTTATATCTCGCAATTGTGACTTTATATCTCGCAATTCTGACTTTATAACACACAATTCTGACTTTATAACTCGCAATTGTGACTTTATATCACGCAATTCTGAGGAATAAAGTCAGAATTGTGAGATGTAAACTCGCAATTGTGAGAAAAAAAGTCACAATTATTTATTATATGTTTTTATTCAGTGGCGGAAACAAGCTTCCATAGGTTTAAAACTACTTGAGGGTGAGTAAATGGTGGCGGAATCTTCATTTCAAGTGAACTATTCCTTTAATCCTTCTAACAGGGAAGATGTTTATTGTATAAGTTTGACAGTTACCTCTCAGTGTGTAGAAGGTTCGATGGCTGGCTATGACCTCTCTCATTGTCTCCTGTGGACATACTTTCACCTCCGAGTGGAAGAAATCTGACCTCCTGACGCGATGCTTTTCCATTTCAAATATAGTTCTGACCCCTGAATTCTGCTTTGGTGCGTTTTGGTTTAAGCTGCTAGCATCAAGAGTCTCTAATGGGTTTAGCCTTCTTCTGTCTGAAAAAAAAAAAAGTAAGTTATAAATAAAAGGTTAGTAACTTCATTGTAATTCAGCATATTTATCAGCTCTCAGCCCTCGTGGACTTTCAATAAAGTCATTTCTTTCCAAAACTAGGATAATCTGCAATGCTATGCTTTGTTTCTGCACTCATGTTTGAAGGACATTAAAGGGTAACTAAACCCGTGGTCAGAGCCTGACTCCACCCACTGGCAATATTTGAAAATGCTGAAAAAGTGGAGTGGGCAGACCCCAGCGGAGATAGAGGGGACTAAATAGATGCTAAAACACTCTATCCTGATCGTTTTCAATACTCACAATTCCAATTCCTTACTCCCTACAGTGGTTTTGGCGACACAAGATCGTTTTTATTGAGAATGAGGAGTTTTTACAGTGCCCCTCCCCTTTCCGCCATGTTGGTAGGATTCCCACGACAAAACAGTATTGATTACGTGTGTTTTTAGCTCGGTAGTAGAGGAGTTTCTCGCAATACCTCTACTCAATCTGTTTAAAATCACACTTTTTTTTGGTTTGTCATTAGTCTTATTCTATAATCAATCCTATTCATAATTGCCCTATTGTAATTGACAGGAAAGATTAATGTTTTACTAGGATATACAACCTTTTGATTGAAATACTTGTCAATAAAGCTTCTATATTTAATTGCTTCAGAAAAAAAAAAAAAGTTTCTCGCAATACCACACTGTTTTACCATGCCTGGAAGTAACTGCTGCGTTAAAAACCGATAAAAACCCTGGTAACCGATAGCGTCACCTACCATCATCGCCGCCCGGCTCAGACCCCGCCCAAATAGGCACGTGACTCCTCATTCTCAATACTGCCAAGGGCGTAGCTCGCGTGGTGAGCTGAAACCTGCGTACGTCTCGAAGTGCGGAACATCCAATAGGAAAATTGAACTGCAGTAGCTGAAGAGGGCAGCACTAAGACGTTTTTACGCCATATATATTGTATAACACTTTATAAACAAATGTCAAAAAAGTTACTCGAATCAATGACTGGTATTAATAAAGATCCATTGTTACAGATCATTAACTAAAAAAAGTTGCTTAAATGTTTAGTTACACTTTAATGGGTTAATTGTTGGTGTGCAAAGGGCAAGCAAATTTACATTTTAATAAACAAATCGGGAACTGTACCCTTCCACCTATTTGAATTTGAATTTCTAAGAAACTTACTTTGAATTTGTTTTAGCCATTTTTGCCAAATGTGTCGAAAAAGAAAATCTGCATATCATTTAGAAAAGCTAAAAGCAAAATCAAAAGCAGTATATTTTAAAGCATGGAACATGACTACTACTAGTATCTAGTGAATATCTAGAGTTCACAAAACGTCATTATTTGGTGATACAAATGCAAAAACATCCTTTGCCTCTGTAGTCATTTGTGTGGCTGTTTCTTAAAACACTAAAACACTTCACACAAGTATATGTATCATTTTGCTTGCACTGTACAACACATTGAATGACATTTTGCTTAGGTGTGTCCAGTAATTTCCCATCACTTGAGTATCATAATACACGTCCAGTGCCACATTTGTCTATTACACTGCACACTACAGCAGAAATCACACATTCATACCGGAAATTCTGTCCTCATCTACATCTTGTTGTAAAATTTGACTTTATTACCTTGAATTCCTGTGACGGACAGTATAAAGAAGAAGAGTGTGAGGAGATGCCCACTTTTCAAAGACATCCTGACTTCAAGTCGTACATCTAACCCCATGATGTATTAAGACAGCACACGACTCAGGTGCTAAGTCCTTTTTCTTGGATATGTCCATCAGAAGCTGGAGAAGCCATGATGGTTCCCGAGACCTTGCTGTCAAGCACTGAGACCTAAAAATGGAAATGAAGAAGCCTGGAAATTGAGACGGGCTTTCGGTGTCTCACAGAAAACAACAGTGTGAATGTAAAAAGCAGGGAGAGATGACAGAGATGCAGCATTGGTGAAGAGGCGTGACATTGTGTGACAGATTACAGTGAAGTAGTTAAAAAAGCAAGATCTGTTTCTGGAATAATCTGATTATCTGATGCTCAGACATAATCCTGCTTTACCCGTGGCCCATCTCATCCAATTACTCGCCTTGAATGGCTTTTCCATTCAAGCATCTGTCAGATCAATCATGAAGTAACAGTGCATGCCTCATGAGCTGCGAATGATTGATACACTTGCGAGGGCGTCCTTTCTCGAAAATGGATGTCCGTTCTCGGGATCACCTGTAATGGCCGTTAAAGCTTGTTGAGTCTGACTGCCTTTAAACTGTGACCCCTGTGATAAGGATAAGTGGAGGAAAGTTAGAAGTAATTACTGCTGATATTGACGGTCCAAAGGCTTGGTCTATAAATACCAAAGCCTTGGCATCAGTTGAATTGCATGCTAATTCACTAATGTCAGTCCACCTCACGTCTAATCAACTATGTTGTTTGTGTAAATGTGCACATTTGATCATTGTATAACAATTAGCATTGTATTAGAACATAATCATTCATCTCCTTCATCAGAGGCGCAGACTGGAGAGCATTTTCCAAGAACACTTCAAATGACGACAGAGACGTTGCGTCATCAGATGCTGAGGATGTCTACGTGACTCCAGGGTTACACTGACTTTAATTGGCTATTCTTAACTGTCACCCCCCCTTTTTTTGAATAGACATGAAAATGCACATTTCGAACTTAAATGGTTGTAATTCAAGAATGCTTTGGAATATAGACATATGATTGGTCTTGTTTTAAAGAAGACATTTGGCAGATTTTTGTAGAAGTGAAATAAATTAAGAAAGTGAAACAGAAAAAAAGTTATAGAAGTTTGAGTGTATGGAAATGTACAATATTAATTATTCATATTTTACATAAAATATATATTTTCAAAACCTGGGCTACTCTAAAACGGCAGAAAGATCAAAGCCAAAAATCTGAACAAGTTGTGTTTCAAATTTTAGGTTGATATCTCAAAAAATGAGCTTTCAGTAAGATTTTGTTTGAGCGCAGTACCAAACTTTTTCACTAGGGCACAATCAGACTCCATTACTGCCCATATAAGGGTGCCTGCATTTCCATTCGTGTTTTGAGTGATATGAACCATTATTTTCACAATTTTCATACAATCTCTGAAGTAGAGATCCTATTCAGAAGTATTATGGGAAGTTTGGCAGATTTTGATATGAATTGAACCTCTAAGAAACACATACAAAGAACACGCATGCAAGTCATAGCTAGCTGCCACGTCACAAATGGTGAATTTATTATTATTTTTTTGATATTTCAAACTTTTCAGACCTTTTTTTTCCAAAATAATTGAATGGATTCTATCTTTTGAACTTTTGGCATGAAAACAAACTGAGGAATCTACCATTTTTTCATGATTTTTCATGTTTACTGCTATTTTAAAATAAAGGTCTGAACACGCCTTACGAGTATGAAAATATTCTTGTTGCATATTGATAAATTATGGCTCCTCTGTAATATATTTTGAAAATCGGTCACCAAATATGGAAACTAGAGAGTGTAAGCTTTCAAATGATATATAGTTTATCAATATTATTTAAGGTATTTTCTAAGATATTATTGTTTTAAAATATATAGTGGCAAACGTCCCACCTGTGGGACAGTGACAGTTAAGTGGTTAAAATGTATTAAATCTGTAATCTACAGCCCTGTCATAACCCCAATAATAGACGGCATAAATAAAACTACAGATTCCTTGCAACTGTCTGACAAACAAAATAATCTGTCTGTTGATTTAACCCTACTATGTAAACAGAATTCCTGATAAAGGGCTTTAGTAAGGAGGTCTGATCCGATTGAACTGTCTTGTTTTGATGACTGGAGAGCGGATCACCGTCTGGCGAATGCTTTATTGTTCAATCCACTTGAGAGTCCTTCAAGATACAATTGTGCGTAGTATATCCACCATACCTTTTAACAAATTTGGAATCCCTTGCTAGGCCGATTCTTTTCACTAATGCAACCAGCAAGAGTGAATTTTTAGTACTGTTTATAAATAACTTTTCTTTCCATTTTTATGATGCCAAACCCTTTTTTCAGCAGCCATTGAGTTATAGCCATATAATATATTCAGTCCAACCTGTACTTGGAATTACATTTTCAACTGGTTTACTTCGTGACATTAATAATGAACATGTTCCATTAAAGTTTTACAACCACAAAGTTCCAGAGTAGAAATGTCTTCATTGTCAGCACTAAGCAAAATTGTGTGCTTCTGCTATCTCTCTTTAAAATAAATAACACTTAAAAAAAAGTGAAAAACGTAAAAAAAAAAAAAAAAAAACGTAAAAAAAAATGACTGAATTTTTATTTTTATTGTTTTTTTTCAATGAAATCAGTGTACTATATTTTAGTGTGATGTGAAATAATGTTTTTTTATTTATTTATTTAATATTTTGTATTTTTATGGGATTTTAACTATAAATATTATTAATGGAATAGTTATATTCCATTTATACCTGTTAACCTTTTTGAGCATTGACTTTAAAATAAAATGTCCCAAATGTTCTGTTGTAAATATTGAATGCTTTGGAGCACAGACTTAAGTTTGGCAGATTATTGCTGAAGTTAAAGTAACAAAAAAAAAAAGTTATAGAAGAAGCAATTAGAATTAGGGTTGTGATGATGAAAAATGCATAAAAACACCACATTAAATTGTATATGAAATATATATTTTCCAAAACACGTTTTACCCTAAGACTGTGAGAAAATAAAAGTCATAATCTTATAACCGAGGCTTTAAATCTCCTTACGAGGCATCATCACAGATGAGCTCACAAAACTGACAACTACTAAATATTTTTTAACCTGAATTGCAAATACATGTCAATAAAGCATTTAATACCAAACTAAGTAACTATTACTATATGTCTGAATGATAAGATATGAAATTGTTTATTAATCATTCCTTACACTTTCTAAGTGATCTTATGAACCACTGACAACTCAGAAATAAATAACTGCTTTGTAAATAATGCAATTCTTCATTTAGAAATGATAAATTGATCATGATAAAGTATGGAAATACAATTATTAAACACATCAATTATACTCTAGATATGTTTAAATCAAGAATAAAGCATTTATAGCTGTATCTGTATGAATAACCTACTTTTTAATGTCTTTTAATGTTTTTTAATTGGTGAATTCATTGTTTAAGGTTTAACTATTAGCATTATTATAAAGAGTTACCAAAATGTTTGAATATTCTACAACAATAAGTTATTTATATGCAGTTCTACAGAAGCCCTTTGTCCACCTCCACGGCGTGTATAGTCCATGAATGAATTTAGATGCATAATAACCATTCATTTTCTGTCAAAAGTTGTATTGCATATTTAAATCTACTGAAAATGTTCAGAGAAAGAGACCCAGCACAGTGATATCTTGTTCTGTCTTTCACCCTAACATTAGAGTAAATAACACAACATTGTTAGTGCACGCACATTCAAATATGAATGTATATGAAAATATAACATCAGTTACATGTTGTTATAGTTAGCCTACATGTTGTTTCTATATATGAATGTACTAGCACTACATTAGCTTCAGCATACGATGGCTTTTGAATGAACGTCCAGTAATCCTCACCGGTCTAAAGACAGTCAAACAGGAGAAACAGCGCCGTCTAGTCATGGGTTTCTGCATAACAACACGTTACTGTTCTTGAGTAGTCTAGCAGTTTTTAGGCCTGAATTGTTTACTAAAAGTGTGTAGGTTTAGTTTAAATCCCACAGGGCTCATCTCAACATCTGCTCTCGATGCCGAAAAAACAAACGAGTACTGTTGCTGGACAATACACTGACAAACTACAGAAAATGTGCTTCGATCCAACGTGCCTGGCCAATTATTTGGCCGCCTTCTACATTTGAATGAATATGCATTAGAGTGGGCGTGGTTATCCTGTGTAGCGTTGACTGCTAACGCTCGATTAGAGATTTATCAATGGATTTTCGAAGAAATTACGTTTATTCGACGTTTATGTGATATTTATTTAAATGAGTATATAGTCTCAGATTGACATCCTAATATTTGGAGAAGAATGGAGGAGACAGCCTCATGTCGCCAAGGTAAAATCACTCAGATTGTATTTGTAACTTAATCACGATAAAGCTAACGATTTCATTGTATCAAAGGCTGATAACGCTTACAAAAACATACTGTGACAGCACAGTAAATTACCAAGACAAAACTGCTATGAAGTTTTTTTTAAATGATTATTAGCTAGTCAAATCAAAAAGCATGTTGCTACTTACCATCCGATCAGTGATCCCATCCCACATCGGTTAAACTGGACAACCTAAAATTGTTTTAACATTTTATAGTCATTAATTTCTGCCTGTCTGGCAATATTTCGAGAGTGTAGACATGGTTTGATTGCAGCTGTGGCGTTGTGCTGACATTAGATTATTATGATGCCTCAGTGCATTGACATTTGTGTGGAAACAGCTCTGTAATGAATGGACTGCCTAGGGTCCAGTCCTCAACGATGTCTGCCATTGGTGTTTACAAATAAAAAAAATATATAGGCTATATATATATATATATATATATATATATATATATATATATATATATATATAGTTTTTTGTTTTTGATTGATATTGAGTTCACTTTGAAATTAATTTTTGGTATGTTTTAGTTTACCTCAAGAGCATCCAAGATGTAGGTGTCTTTGTTTCCGCAGTATTTTCAATTTGTGATATTTTTAGGTCAAACCGTTCTTGTCTGTCAGTCATATAATGGAGGTCTATGGTCTTCACCTCAAAGAGCATGCACAGAGAAGGCCAAATAAGACTTAATGATTGGCAAATGTAAGTACACATTGATGGCCTAAGACACGAAACAAGCGGTTTGTGTGAGAAAACGAACAGTATTTATACTGTTTTTACCTCTTGTAACCAAGCCACTTCCAAGTGATTAGAGGGTGCGGGCGCTTCAGTCTG